AGATTTATTTTATTTATTTAAAAGACAAAGTTACAGAGAGAGGTAGAGACAGAGGAAGAGAGAGGTCTTCCATCCACTGGTTCACTCCCCAGATGGCCACAATGGCCGGAGCTGCGTCAATCCAAAGCCAGGAGCCCAGAGCTTCTTCTGGGTCTCCCACATGGATGCACGGGCCCAAGGACCTGGGCCACCTTCTACTGCTTTCCCAGGACATATCAGAGAGTTGGATTGGAAGAGGAGCTGGAACTCAAACTGGCAACCATATGGGACACCGGAGCTTCAGGCCAGGGCTTTAGCCCACTGCGCCACAGCGCCGGCCACCTTCTGTTCATGTTTTTGTTTAGAGTCATATGGATGTCTATGTTTCTCCCCAGATTTGGGAAGATTTTAGCTATCATTTCATAGATTCTTTATACCATCACTTCTCTCTTTTCCCACAAGTATTCTTAAAATTTGAATATTTGTTCATTTAATGGTCCCAAAGTTCTCAGAGGTTATCATCATCCCATCTTATTTTTTATTGTCTGGTAGATATTTCAAACACCATTTTATGTTCAAATATTCTTTCTTCCTCTTAATCTGCCTGTCATTGAGGCTTGTAACTGTGTTTTTAAAATTTTGCTGAGTTCTTCATTTCTTTTTAAAAATATTTATTTATATTTATTCAAAAGTTGGAGTTAGAGAGAAAGAGGGAGAGACAGAAAGACAGAGATCTTCCATCTGCTGGCTCACTCCCCAGATGGCTGCAACACTCACAGCTGAGCCAGGCTAAAGTTAGGAACCAGGAGCTTCATCTGGGTCTTCCATGTGGGTAGCAGAGACCCAAACATTTGGGTCATCCTCCACTGCTTTTCCCAGACCATTATAGCAGGGAGCTGGATAGGAAGTGGAGCAGCTGGGACAAGAATTGACACATATATGGGATGCTGGCATTGCAGCTGGCAGCTCTACCAACAATGCCACAACACTGGACCCAAGTTCTTCATTTCTACAGTGTCAGATAGAAGCTTTCTATCTCTTTGCCAAATTTCTCATGTACAACATTCATTGACTTCCTAATTCTATTTGTCTATCTGAATTCTTGATATTTATGCATCTGGTGAATCAGTTGTTTCTTTCCCCTTTAAAGGGTGGCTTTTTGGATGAAAAGCTTTTTTCTGCAGACGAATCTTCCTTCAGGTGTTGGTTTGGTTGACTTCTTGGGCTTTAGTTCCAGCAGGACCGTGAGCTGTGATCTCCTCACCATCTTTCCCTGTGACTGACGGCAGTGTGGCAGGGGTGTGAGTGTGTGTGTGGGGATCCTCTCTGTACCAGAAATGTGTGTGAGTCCTGGTATGGTGGCTGCGGTCTTGGCAGTGCCTGTCCCACTTCCCCAATTAACATGCATGACTGCTGCATTCACCTGTGCTGGATTCGGGGGGCTGCTTCGGAAGAGGGCTGTGATAGAGCAGGACCAAGGCTGCCATGGTGTGTACTGCCCTGGGGTGAGAAGTCTGCAGAGGAGAGTGCCTCCACTTTTAATGTCCTGGGAGTGGGAACCACCTTGCTGTGCAAAATCACCTGTGCTGTGTAATGCAGGATGCTGCTTGGGCTAAGGTGAGAGGGTGACTGTTGCTGGAGAGTCTGTTTGGGATTCTGAGGCTGCAGTGCTTTGGGCTAGTATGGGGGCTATGAAGGAGCTTCTGTCTCTTAGGGAAGCGTTGATTCTGACAATGACTCCTTTTTCAAGACGGCACTGCATTGCCACAGCCTGTGCCCTGGGCGTCAGGGAGGGGACAGAGAGTTCCTTCTCTGGGGCAAAGCTACTCTGTCACTTCAGGGAGCTGCTTTTGCTTGGGGGATGGTAACTGCGGTTTCCTCCTGTAGGTACCACTGCTGATGTCCAGTGTCCCGGGAGATGAGCTCTATGGGGATCTTTCCCCTGCAAGGTGGATTCCTCCCTACTTTGGGCCCAGGGTAGTGGCTGCTGGCACACTTTCTTCCTCTCTTTATGCTTCCATCCTGTGTCTCTGTATACTGGGGGGTTCCTGTGTCCTTTGCTGAGTTCCAGTGTTCTCCCTTGAGCAGTCAACTCAAAACCCAGTTATTTACCTGCACTGTGATTCTTTTCTGTGGGGGAGGATATCAATGCTGAACAGGTCTACTTAGCTATCTTATGTCTTTCCTGTTTCATGAATTTTCCACCTAAAGATATTAAAGCTTCCCATTTCCCTTTCATAATTGTTCTTGCCTTCTATGCAATATTTATAAAGCAAAAATATGTTTTCAGTAAATATTTACATGGTACACTTTCTTCAATGTTTGTTACCTTCCCTATGTCCTTATGTTAAAGTTCATTTTCACAAAGAGAACATAATTGGATCGTCCCTCTTTGGTAGTTAATCCAATCTAAAATTTTGTCCTTTAGTTGCATTATTTAATCTCTCTCTTTATATATATATATACATATATATTTATATAAATGCTGTTGATACAGTAGAATTTAAATAATCTACTACGTTGATTTCTCATAGTATCATCTATTCTTTGTCCCTTTATTTCTCCTTTCTGTTGCTCTCTTATTAATCAAGAATTACTTACTATTTTATTTGCTCTATTATATTTTTAGTCACAAGATTGTATTATTCTTTTAATGATCAACATAGAGATTATAATTTACATTGATTACATTTGATCATAAACTAGTGCTTTGATCACTTATTGAATATGAAGTGTCAAAGAAGTTTACTCATACCCTCCACTTCATCCCTTGTGTAATTTTTATCTAAATATTTTCTTTCCACCTATCTTATAAGCCCATAAGTTATTATTTTAAATATATAATATTGTTTTTTATTTCCCTACATTTTACTTTCTTTGATACTCTTTATTCTTTCAACAGTTCTCTATTTGTATATGGGCTTGTCTTCTTTAAGTCTAAAGACTTTATGAGAAATATTCAAAAAGTTTATAGAAAGTCCATATCATAAAAGCATGAATTTTTAAAATCGCACCCCCCCAGAAAAAACCCTCATTCTAGCTATTATGACATGTCTGAACAAGATCTAGTTTGAGACACTAAGGCGGTTGAGACACCAGTTCGAAAAGAGCCCTGGAGTCTGTGCTGTGGTGTAAATCCACACCTGTGGTGCCAGCATCCCATATGGGTGCCGGTTCAAGTTCCAGCTGCTCCATTTCCAATCCATCTCTCTGTTGTGGCCTGGGAAAGCAGTAGAAGATGGCCCAAGTCCTTGCACCCCTGCACCTGCCTGGGAGATCCGGAAGAAGCTCCTGGCTCCTGCCCTTGGGTCTGCACAGCTCCAGCCATTATGGCCAATTGGGGAGTGAATCAGTGGATGGAAGACCTCTCTCTCTCTCTCTCTCTCTCTGCCTCTGCCTCTCCTTCTCTATCTGTGTAACTCTGACTTTCAAGTAAATAAATAAATCTTAAAAAAAAGAGCCCCTATCAGAGAATTATGAGTTTTGTTAAAATTAAAGAAGAAAAAACTTCAAATTTATGGTGAAGTTTGGATAGAAGAATTGTGAAATCATTCATGGAAAGTTTATGGGGATCATGCACTGAAGAAATAAATCAGTTTAGAAATGGATAGCTCATTTTAAGAAGGGATGAACCAATATTAACTATTCGCATTAATTTGTGAAGGAAAATCAATTAACAGCACAAGCAAGAGCTGGCACCCTAGATTCCTAGTTGGATCAGCTTATGCAACTCACTTGAACATATAAAGTGGAGCAAACCCTTGGCTCAATGGGTGCCAAAACTTTTCATTCAGATTAGCTACCAATAAGAGCAAAGGATTCAATGGAAAATCTGAACTAGTAAGATCAATATTCTGAAGGACTTTTTAGAAGAATTGTAACAGGAGATAAAGCATGGCTTTGTCGGTATGATCCCAAGGACAAAACACAATCAAGGGAATGGCTACCAAGAGGTGGAAGCGGTCTGGTTCAAGAGGAGGAGAAGCTATCAAGAACAGAGTATGACAGCATTTAAAAACATTTTTGTTGATCAAAGACTTTAGCTTATTGACTTTCTGAAAGACCAAAGTGTTTTGAGAAAGCCAAATCTTTAGCAGAAAATCCTACAGGAAGCTTCCCAAGAGAGTCCTTCTCCTCCATGACAATACTTTTGCTATTTTCATCATTAAATCAAAGCTATTTTATGAGTTTTGATGGGAAGTCATTAGATGACCACCTTACAGTCTTGACTTGGCTCTTCTGGCTTCTTTTTGTTCCTAATATTTAAGAAATTCTTAAAGAGTTATCATTTTTCTTCAGGCAAAAACGTAAAAAAGATTGTATTGACATAGCTAAATTCAGGATGTACTAAATGTCTTGTATCATCTTTTACAAAAGTCTCTTGACCTTGATGAAACTTACGTTGAGAAACACAGGTTATATTTTAACATTTTATCTTTTCATTCCACTTTTACATGAACTTTCAACATTTCCCTCATATTTTAGTGTTTCCCAGGATGTGTATTTGCTGGCAAAGAATTTTCTAGCATTTTTCAGTCTGAAAAATACTCTATTTCCCTCTAGAAGGTAAAATAGAGCTGATATGTAATTTCTTGGACCTAAAATAATGGTTTTATGTAATTCAGTGGAATTTGTTCAGTGCAGAGCTTGCCTGTGAACTTTATATACTATATACAATTTATATAAATATTTATATAAAAATAAAATTTATATATATTATGTAATTTATATATAATATTATATATGATATATAATATAATTTTATATATAATATTTAAAATGAATATTGAGTTCTCAGAAATTGGAATACTTGGTTTATGGTGCTAGAGAAAGTGTATCAGGGCTAAATACTTATTTACTATAGTCAAGGCAAGAAAAATGTAGCTAAATATTCCTTTTTTGACAGTTAACAAATAATATTTAAACTTAGAAAGTTAAAACAGAGGATATGGAGATAAATTTGAAAGTCGTGGGATACAAATAAATACAACTTACAAAGTTTGATATTTTTGCCTCTACAGGGAGGGATTTGGCCAGAAGTGTGGAAAAGAAACTGCTGTTTTTCACTATTAAATCCACTGGACTATTGCTGAGTATATGGAAAATCTCTGTACTATCTTCTCAAGTTTTGTATAAATTTTAAGGGGTTCAGAAAAATAAAGTCTTTTTACAAATTCACATATATGACATTCAAAAGATGTATTTGGGAAAATAGTGATTAAATTATAAAATATTAACCTCTGTGCTAATTTAAGCTTCTTTCTTATTCTTACTTATTTTCTACCATTCTAGCATAGTCTTTTCTTGGGTTTCTCATTTTGACAATAGTTAACAATTTCTAGAAAAAGGCAGCTTGATCACTCTACTTGCTAGGTTCTTTTAAGAAAACATTGTGGAACCCTCATCTTTCAACCAAGACCTTGAACATTTACTCCCATGCTTCAATAAGGAACTGAAAAAACAGTGCATGGAGACCACTCCAAATACCTCACATTACTCCTTAACCTACTGCTTGGTACAGGGCTAAAACTTACCAAATAAAAGCTATCTATGTAACACAGAAAGGCAGCATTTTCTAATGTTAAGAGTGATGTTGGCAATTGAGTTTCCCAGGGTCATATCCATGTCCTAATCAACAGCTTGGGTTTGGAGGAACAGTTGATGTCTGAACTTGACCAGTGCACCCTAACAATTCACAGCATGGGGCTCCTTCACAGCATGGGGTTCCTTCAGTCTGAAGCTGTCAGTCTTGCTGCTCCTCATCAAATGTTGCAGAGCACCTCGGCACCCTCCACCCTCTACTCAAGGACCTTCCGGAATGTTTAAGCAAGTCTCATAACGCTCCCCTTAGACTATCCACAGAGTTTCTTTCCTTACAGAGAGTTACCAGTCTGCCTCCTCTTGAGCCTCTTTCTTGAACTCCTGGTATTTAAATCTGTTTGAAACTTCAAGAATCACTCCTGGATTGATTCATCTTGTGACAGAAGCCACTCTTGGATATGAATGAAGCCTCTCACCAACTGTATCTTTTTCCAACTCCTGTGGAAATCTCAGCTTTCCAGGATTCTTCTTTGCTACCAAGAAGCCTGTTAGTTTCTTACTCTCTTTTTTACACTCACATCATGTAACATCATCTCTACAGCTGAGGGTGATATTAACCTCTTAGCAATTTGGGGACACTCACAAAAAGGAAATATTCATTTTCATTTTCTTCCTCTTGTGATTATTTATTTCCCCCAAGATTATTTTCAGAATGAAATTTTCTAAGCTTAGTTTTAGGTAAAGTGTTATTTTAGCTTTTTTTTTTCTTTTTTGACAGGCAGAGAGGATAGTGAGAGAGACAGAGAGAAAGGTCTTCCTTTGCCATTGGTTCACCCTCCAATGGCCGCCGCGGCCGCTGCGCTACGGCCGGCGCACCGCGCTGATCCGATGGCAGGAGCCAGGTACTTATCCTGGTCTTCCATGGGGTGTAGGGCCCAAGCACTTGGGCCATCCTCCACTGCACTCCCAGGCCACAGCAGAGAACTGGCCTGGAAGAGGGGCAACCGGGACAGAATCCAGTGCCCTGACTGGGACTAGAACCTGGTGTGCCGGCGCCGCAAGGTGGAGGATTAGCCTAGTGAGCCGCGGCGCCAGCTAAAGTGTTATTTTAAATCTTGGGCAAATGGATCTATACATTTTTGAGTAATAAAGAGCAAAATAGATCACATATTCTTAAATTTTCTCACATTAGGAGCTAAGGAGAAAGTGTAAAACAATCTTTACACTCAGGATCCATTGAGTGCTCACAAGAGAAGCAGAATGAATGGAATTAAAAATGAAAGTTGCTGTTTTAAAAAATAATTAGTTCTAGAACAATATCTTTGAATGCAAGCTTAACCTGCCTTGAAGGTAAGGGGAGGGTTATGTTAGGAAAAATATATGAAAGGTGCCTTTTCATTACTTCCTGAATTCACCAACAATCTCAATAGGACACAGAAGTTGCTCCCTGGAATTTCAAATTTGTACATAATGTCAATCAATGTGTTCACTTAAATCTTTCAATGACTCTTTTAATTCTGAAAATAAATTGTTTCTCAGTCTTTTGGCTAAGATCAAGTGTAGTATCTGCTCTTTCTAGTTTAATTGTGAAAATAATGCTAATTCATACTAAATGAAATTTTGTATTTGAAATGTTTCAAAATTTCCCAACATATTGTATCACATATACTACATAAACACTTATTTCTATTTATAAATACGTTATAAGATTTTGAAATAATACCTGTGTATACCTGAACACTCAAATACACATACAAATTAATATGAGAATGTTGGCAATATGCGCTATTTAGTGACTTAATTTAGCTTAATTAACATCCTTTATGTTACCCGGATAAGAAAACCTCAATTAAGAAATATTTAGGGGCTGTCATTGTGGTGTAGCAGGTAAAGCTGCTGCCTGTGATGCTTGGGCCCCTGCATCTGCGTGGGAGACCCAGAAAAAGCTCCTGGCTCCTGGCTTAAGATCGGCCCAGCTCTGATCATTCCTGCCATTTGGGGAGTGAACCAGAAGATGGAAGACTTCTCTCTCTGTGTCTCTGCCTCTCTCTCTCTCTGTAACTCTGCCTTTCAAATGAATAAATAAAGTTTTATAAAAAGTTTAAAAAAATAAGGATGGAACTGACATTGTGGTGTCAGAAGATGGCCCAAGTGGTTGGGCCCCTGGGTCCACATGGGAGACCCAGATGAAGCTCCTGGCTCCTGGCTTCAGCCTGGCCAGCCCCAGCCAATGTGGCCATTTGGGGAGTGAACCAGTGGATAGAAGACACCTCTCTCTCTCTCTCTCTCTCTCCTCCCTCCTCTCTCTTCTCTCTCTTTCTTTGTAACTCTGCCTTTCAAGTGAATAAAGTAAATATTAAAAAAAAAAAAAAAACAAGGAAACAGGTACTGAGTGTCCTATATGAATGAATTTCCCATGCCTTATGTATCTTTCGCTCATCAGGCATGTCAAATTGTCTAACAGTAGGCCTTCGTGTCTACTGCATGAATAAGTGTAACAATGTACCAGATGCATGTGGCTACATTTATGCACAAGAATTTGATGCAAACAGGAAGTTTCCTTTATCAAATCTCCTGCTCTGGAAATTGAGTTAACATGAGGGGCTCACTCATTTCCTTGGGACAGAGGTGGTAGGAAGGAGACTCTTGGGGAAGTTCATGTATACAGAGTGTCAGACAGGAAATGCAAACACAGAGCCCAAAACACTGCCCAAACACCAGTAAATATTGGAAATCATCATTTTGTTTTTTGACCTGAGAAAATCTCTCTCTTCTCACAACAGTTTCTTGTTATTAACTAAATATATGGGGAAAGGGTTAAGATGATAAAATGACCTCATATTAGGCCAGTATTGCAGTGTAGTGGGTCAGTCACTGCCTACGATGTATGATCCCATATGGGTGCCAGCTTGAGTCCTGCTGCTCCACTTCCTATCTAGCTTCCTACTAATGGAACTGGGAAGACAGTGGAAATTGGACTGAGGACTTGGGGCCTTGCAACCTACATGGGAGTCCTGGATGGAGTTTCAGGCTCCTGGCTTCAGCCTGGCCCAGTGATGGCTTTAGGGAATGAACCAGTCGATGAAAGATTCTCTCTCTCTCTCTCTCTCATCTCAATTACCACCTCTAATACATAGCTATTGGCTGCTTAGTACACAGTGTTGAGTGAGAATCTGAGAATAGAATATCATGATTGATTGTCAATGCCTTCCATGAACACAGCCATAGTAACTCGTGACACCCGAGCCTTTTCTATGCCATAACTAACCTAGATAGCTACAGGGAAATGGGAAATGGGAAAATTCTCTTATAATACACCTATAAATGCAATAGTTTTGATCCCGTGCCAGCATTTACGTAGTGATTTTTGCTCAGATCATAATTTTTTACATATATAAACTTTGAGTATATACTTTTTTTTCATATCCACCACAGCTCAGAAAGCTGAAATAATATGCAAAGACCAGAAAATTCAGGATACCATCCCAATTTAATCAGATAAGCACAAGTTAAAGCTCTCTTAGCCTGGCCACCTCTCAGCATTTGCTGTGACCTGTTCTCGGCTTTCTTCTCCAGTTGGAATTATTAACTCATTTGTTCTATCCCTTGATGTGCATTATTTGATGCTGCTAAGATTCTACTATATGAGCGGAATCTACAAGATTGCCACAACGTTATTTCAGTTTGCAGAAAGTAATTTACAGCTTGTGTACACTCAGAGCCTAGCACAGAGCCAGGATGTCTCAGGCAATAAGAAGGTATTTGTTAGATAAAAAGATGGGTAGATAGATCACTTCCTTCCTACAGGACAGTATCTTTTTGCTCTTAATGTAACATGTTACTTTTATTTCATAGCACAAAATACTTCAAAATGAGACTGCTTGTCATTGATCCATTTTATGCAGCAACGTAAGTAAGGCATAACGGTCCTTGAATCACCCTCCAATCCACAAGCCAATATTTAAGCAAAAAAGAAGACAAAAGTTTCAAAATCTCAGAGAAGGAACTCCTTCTGTTTGAATGGATGCAAAGGCCGTGAGAATCTGACATCCTGCTTCTTCCTGCTCCATGCTGCTCCATCTGGTCAGACATAAATGTCCTCAGAATGGCACTGAGGACAGCTGCTTCTGATTCCCCGCTGGCTTAGACTTTGTCACAGGAGAGGCACCCAAAGCTGCATGGTCTATATCAAATTCCCTCTCCCCAGAAATGGAGATACAGTTGAAGAATTTGAAAATGTCAAATAGATTCTTATATAGAAGCTCCAGTAGCCCACCTCATATCCTTTATCAAAGACTGGTGGTGGCTGGGATTGGATATTTCATAAGTTGCTCCTAATTCTAGTTTGTGCATAATAAGTTGAGAGTGGAGGTGCCTTTTCCAATCGTAGAGAGAAGTACACACTCAATGGGTACCAAAATATCCCCTATTTACTTTCTTGAAACCAGCATGATCTGTTACTATTTTCATGAAACATTAATATCTTATGCTGTTTCTAATAAGCACTTGACCCATGTTCAAGGAGAAGATAGAGAAGGAGAAGGAAGGGAGGGAGGAAGAGGTGGAAGGAAGGAGAGAAAGAGAAACGGCTCCCATTAGGGTCCTCTTGAGCTGTGCTGTCTCCAGAGTTAAAGACTTCAGTTTATTTTCTCTACAAATCAATCTGACGCCTCAGCTGCCTAGTCAATTATTTCCTTAGAGCCCAAACTCAAAGATAAGCACTTTTGGAGAAAACAGCTAAACAAATCCATCGTCTGCATTATATCAAACTCCTTCAGACAGAAAACGCAGTCAACAGATCATCCCAGGGCGTTGCAGATGTTTCAAATGTCACTTCTCTTCCATCTTCCCCTCCAGGAGAGATGTTGCCTTTCCAGAGAGGAAAACACTTTCCCCAATATCGTCTTTGTCCTAATCCATCTATAGGCATTTAAAATCAAAGACAGTATCCGTGCTGCACAGGGCAATGGGGGCCTCCCTTTTGTTAAGGGAACATAAACATCAGCAAGCAGCTCCACCAATCCAAGTTCCAGCTAGAAGCCTTGGCTGCGGTGACTTTGGCTCTCTGTTGTGTCAGCTAAAGGCTGCGTTGCTTCAGTGAGCTCTGTTTTTCCAGTCACAGAGCTGATGCTGCAAATCATCATGAGGTTGTTTTACCAACTGTACTAAACTTCCCACGCCTTATATTACTCAGCAGCCAGTCGGTGCCCTTAAAATGCAAGCAGGGATATTTGTTGGGCAAACAGCAGCCCATCTGTGAATCCTCACAATGAAATGATTTTGTAGCAAAGGAATACATCCAATAGTACCATGGAACCTAGTGAATTATTTTGCTCGTCAGGGCTGGGCCAGATAGAAGCTAGGAGCCAGGAGCTTTTTCTGGGTCTCTCACATGGGTGGCAGGTGGCATCTTCTGCCACAGAGAGCTGGATCAGAAGTGGAGCCGCTGAGTCTGGAACCGGCTCCCATATGGGATGCCATTGCTGCAGGAGGAAGCTTAAGCCAGCCTCCCACCTTATTTTTTAAAAATACTGCTTTAGGCCAGCACCGTGGCTCACTTGGCTAATCCTCCTCCTGCAACGCCAGCGCCCCGGGTTCTATCCCAGTTGGGGCTCTGGATTCTGTCCCCGTCGCTCCTCTTCCTGTCCAGCTCTCTGCTGTGGCCCAGGAGAGCAGTGGAGGATGGCCCAAGTGTTTGGGCCCTGCACCCACATGGGAGTCTAGGAGGAAGCACCTGGCTCCTGGCTTCAGATGAACGCAGCGCGCCGGCCATGGTGGCCATCTGGGAGGTGAACCGATGGAAGG